TCCTCCTGCATCATAATTTCCATGTGGGCTGCAGCATCAACCATACGCCCATAATCCCGTATCATAGTTCCCCCAACTCTCATCTTGAGGCCACGCCTCAACTTCTTCTCAAACTCAATACAACGGCGTTCCTCAGACGCCACCAACTCAGGTGCAAATCTGGACAAACTAGTGAATGCAGCCTCAAATTCGGCCACTGAAGAACTTGCCTGCTTAAGCTGACAAAACTGGTCTCGCAGCTTCTCCCTGATTGCTGGAGATAAGAATTTCTCCTGGAAAGCATTCACAAAAGCCTCCCATGTACCTCCTATACGCCCCTTAGTAAATTTCCACCACTGACCCGCATCCCCCTTCAACTGGAAAGATGCCAATGTCACTTTCAACCCCTCGTCTTCGATGCCAAGCATCTCAAACGTCTTCGTTGTCTGTTCGAGCCATTCATCTGCCTTAAGCGGCTCTTTAGGATCACCCACAAATTCATCCGGATTAGACCGGAAGAACTCCCTCTTCAGAAAGGCAGGTCTTGTATCCGCAACAACAACCTGAGCTTAATTCTCAGCTCTGAGAATGCCTACTGACTCCCTGAATGCCCCTGCTATCTCTCGGGCTAGAGCGCCCATAGCCTGCTGGCCTGCTGGCCTACTGGCTCGGCTACATTGGCCTGGCCAATTCCCTCCTGAACTGCCGGAATCTCCTCTGGCACAGGCACCTCCTGCCTACCCGGCCTACCACGCCTACTGCGTTCTCGTCCTCGTCCTGACATCCTAATGAAGGAAACAAAGACGTTAGCACATTAATAAATGTGCCGAAGCTAAACACTCACGTCCTAATGCATTGGACAACAATAATTCATTCCACGTAAGCACATAATCACATAAGTACTTACGAATTTCATTCCCGGATAATGATAGTCCCAATACGTTTCTATAGTTCCGGTTGGAAGCAGCAGTGATCAAGTGCCTTTCCAACAAGACTACTAGGAACTCAAGGGTCCAATCAACATCCTAGAAACTACATTCCATACCCACATAATCACATAAACATGTTATCACATAAGCATATATCATTATCCTAAGTCTCTATCAAACGAGACAAACCCAATGTGATACTAATCACTTCCCACGTACCCAAAGTATTCAAACCCGGTACGCTCTGATACCAAGTTGTAACGCCCTCAAAAATAAACCCATTGAATAAATATAACATCAACATGCAATGTTAAAAAGAAAACAATTCATAATAACATTCTTCAGAGTCCTACTAAATTAAAGCATTACATGTAATATCAAATTAAATGCCCTACAGGCTTACATCTTTCCAAGCCAACACTTGGACATAAAAGTATGAGTTCTAACTCAAATACAAATAAAGCCCTAGGCTTGAGTGTTTACATTTATCAACACATAAAAACAAATAACTGAAAATAGTCTTCAAAATCCAAGTCCTTCCAAGCTAAGTCCTTGGAGGTAGCTTATCACCTGAACCTGAAAATGATGTTCCCGTATAGGGTGAGCCACAGCCTAGTAGAAATATTCTAAACCAAACATAAGCATTGAATAAAGCAATAGCATTCAATAGATGGTTAACCAAGATAATCAATTACATCATTATACAGTCTCATGACAACAACGTCAATGACACGTTTTACTTTCCAACTTTATCAACATGGCTCAGAACCTGGCCAAACTGTACAACAAGTGAAATATATATATCAAATCAATTCTCTCAATGTCACAAACAAATGAGACTCAGGCTCAAATCAAACACTTCATACTTCAGTTTGATACATCATTTTAGTGCTGTATCAATAAAACCTTCATATAAATAAGCACACATAAAGTGATGCTATGGAGTCCATCCCCTATCTTCTCCCAATCACACTTCAAATAATATAAGCCACAAAAGTTGATCTCAATGGAGTATCCTATCTCTTCCCAAAACACACTTCAATACACATAATGGAGTCCATCCCCTATCTCCTTCCAAACAAAAATGTATGTAAACACATAACTAACAACACACAATCAATACACATAATGTCTGTATTAATTCAGAGTCAAAATTGATGACTTAATCAAGATTAGTTTCAGTTATCCCGTAATCCACATGCAGTGTCTACAATAATCACGGCTATCCTCCACCGATAGCCCAAAACAGTTATTTCTAAACTGAAGATAAATATATCAACAATTCAATAGGCGAGTGATTTAAATTATCCAACTACACCATTTAATCATACATGAATCCAATTCCATGAATTTAACCAAATTTCCCCAATTCCTAAATTAATTATACAAATTAATTTATAATACAACTAGGGTTTTCCCCAAAATTACCAAAGTACCCCCAACATATCAAAATACCAAACTTAGAACAAAACTTATAGATGGAGTAGAATCCTACCTCGAAGAAAATAACCCGAATGGAGAAGATAGAGATGAATACCCAAATATCAATTGTGCTCCAAATCACCAAATGTTCAGATTAAATGGAAGCCCTCGACGCTCACTCTATCTTTTTAATAAAGGGTCTAAGGTAGAAACTCACTCTAAGTAGATCAATCCTAAGAGAGAAGGTGTGGTAGAGGGAGAGAGAACTCGTACCTAGGGTTTTGGAATCTGAAAGTGTATGAAAAACTGATCTAAACACGCTTGCTGCCTATTTAAACCTGACAGGCTCGCTCGAGCGAAGACTTGGTCGCTCGAGCGACCAGACACAGAAAAGCTACGCTCGAGCCAAGAAATCCTTGCTCGAGCCAACAACCAGAAGCTCGCTCGAGCGAAGGAAATCTCGTCTGAGCGAAGAACTCAAAACCCTCAGTCTGCAACCAGACACAACGCGTATGTCCGAGCGAAGGAACTCTCGCTCGAGCGAAGAACGAACTAGCTCGCTCGAGCGAAGAAAATCTCGCTCGAGCCAAAAACCACAGCTCTCAGGTCTTACTACAAAACGCAATCCTCGCTCGAGCGAAGAAACTCTGGCTCGAGCGACGGACCAAAACAAAGAGCTCGCTCGAGCGAAGAACTGCTTGCTCGAGCGAAGGGTCAAACTTCTGGGCAGCCACCCTTTGCTCCCAAGCTCAACCAACCTGCTACAAACCTGCCCAATGCATCCCCTAACTCAGAAATAGGAAATTAAAGGACGGTAACAATCATAATACAATAGCAGGAGCTACGGAACCTAAGTCCGGATACAATAAACAAATGAGAAAAGACCGGGGTCGCTATAAAGGATATGAAGGTTAAGTATGGACACTAAAACTTTACTTTTTTCTTTGACCATAGAGCTAAACTTGGTTTTGGTTTTTTGTCACCAGTTACTGTGATTGCAATTGCAAAAACTTGAGTTTGTGTTTATCAAACCGTTGAGTTTGGATTGTTTGTATTGAATTATCAAATTTGTTCAGATATCAAATCATGAATCCTATAAGTATCTAAGTTGTATGATTAGTGACTCGCCTTATTGGAATTATTTTATCTCTAATGATAACTGAATTGTATGACTTTACACTCTAGAATCACAAAAGGTTTTACAAATTTCTTTTGTAGTTTTAACTTTACCTATTGAAAATTCTCTTGTTTTCATATACTTAATATATTTTTTTAATACTAAATATCAAACTAACTGTCATCTTCTTCTTCTTCTTCTTCTTCTTCTTCTTCTTCTTTATTACAGATCCAGAGGAATAGTGTTGCTCAAGTTGTAATTGGGATAAATTGCTAAAAAGTAAAAGTTAATTTGAAGTATTTTGTTGCAACACCTAAACTAAATTTACAAACTATTGTTGAGACTTGTGGTACTGTGGATTAAAGGGGATTACTGATTGTGATTTTATCTCTTTGATTGCCATGATTATTTTGTGGAGTGAGATTGAGAATTGGTTTTCTAATCAGCAGCGCTACTGCTACATGATCACTTCCCATAATTCGAATCTCACTCCTGACTCCTCTCGGATCTCACAAGTGTTGTGAAAAATTGTAGCTTCTTTGATTTCCTTCCCCAATCAAGGCCTTGAATCAAGGAACTCTCAACCAACAACGAAATTGTGATCCAACCGCCACCACCCTTCCACCTCTGACCACTACCCAGCTCTCCCCCACCCACACAACAATGTTGGGTTAATATTGAGATATTTGTTACACAAATCCGAAATGACATGACACACTAATACAACCTGACACGGCACAATGCATATCCTAGATGTGATTGTGTTCTTATCAAGTTTGTTCTCTCCTTAATTGAAGAAAGGGAAAAAAATAGTACTATATTCCTCAGTTTGGCAGATAAAAATTAAGATAGAAAAATAAACTGACTTTCTTGTTAGTGTTAGCTATCGCATGATTTTAATTTAGAATTTTGGTTTTTATTTTAGTAAATTATATTTAATTTGATGTACTACCATACACGTGTATAACTTGTAACACAACTTCTAGTAATAATAAATACACCAATATAGTTAGGTTCTGAGTAACCTCTACAACCAAACCATTCAACAAATGGAACAAAATATTTGAAGTTTTCAGTAAGATCAATCTTAACTTCGCAACACCACTAAGGATTTTTAATAGGTTCACTTTTAACCTAAATCGTTTGTGTGATAATATAGATATATGTGTGTGTCTATGTAAAGAAGATACTTGCTCATCGCGTCGTTATCATCGTGTCGTGTATGAGGTGGTAGAGGTATAGAACTAGGCTGCAACAGTAGGGTCCTATCTTCTATACACACTCCCTAAATGCACAGTGGCCACTCAGATGCATCCTAAACCTACAACATTAAAGTATAATTCATTAGGCATATGAATATAAATTTTTTTTTAACATTAAAATTAAAATATAGTAAGTGAAAAAACAAAATTTGTACTGAACCTAGAAGGCATCTGAACTCCCTTCTTCGCTTGAAATTAATTCGCCATTTGCTCGATATGTGTAGTGAGTTCTGCCCTGAGCTCCCTTTTGAGATTCTCACATATTTTGAGGCATGCTCCTGCATTAACTTCTCCCAAACTTGTTAAGTGATCTCGGCCATCGTTAAGGCTTGGGATGCAAGTGATGGGCCCACACCAGCCCACACCATGTCTGTACACTGCACTCTGAGGCGCATCTCCCCCATATGTCTGAAAATACCCAAGTTGTGTCGCCTGGAGGGACTCGGGCTTGTCAAAGAGTTGCCAATTATACCCGTCCTACATTTTAAAAACACAAGTACACAATGACGAAAAAAAAATACGATGGTGGAAAAATTAAAAAAGCAGAAAAACACAATACTTGATGTTGTATCTGCGAGAAGTGTGTCTGCCCCATCGTAAGAGGTGGGCCACGAGGCTCCCAATTGCAAGAGTTTTGAGTCGATATCTCCTATAACATTAGTTCCACATTTATAATATTAACTAAACATTTAAAGTGATATTTAAATTTTTAGATATTAATTTTCACTAAAAAACCACTACTGCTGAAATATTGCTCCAATAAGCCGCCAAATTACAGTTACCATATGTGAGGGGAATTTGGTGCCGTTACGCACTATCTGTCCAAGTTGGCCATTCAAGGAGGCATCTTGATCCCCTACCGGCTGGAATGTACTGTCAAATTGGATGTCCATCCTAGCACCTGTATTCCACTCCTTGATGCCCCTAACATTGCCTTGACTACACCTAGTCAAGGTAGAGTTAAAAGTCGCCAGGCCTGAGAGAAATAATGATAATGAACAAGTTAGAGATAAAAAAAGTATGGCATGATTTATCATAGCAATTAACGTAAAATCATTAAAGATGTACATACCTAAGGTGGGATGTGATGATGATGGTAGTGATGTTGCAAGTGATGATGAAGGTGCCAATGATGGTGGCTGTGATCGAGGCTTCTGGGATGATGGCTGAGAGGTATAGATGTGAGTGTAATCTGAATATGCAACATGATTACAACTTCCCTTTGACATAGTAATATGTAAGAAATAGAATTGATAAATTCAAGATATAGACATAATTAGTTTGCTGAGAGTAACAGCTCATCAATTGAAATTTTTTTTTCTTTTGATTCGTAGCTCATCAATTGAATTGATAATACATGATATGGACATAAACAGAAAATATATTACATCTCATTAATTTAAGTAATAATTCAATCCCATCACACTAAAACAAGATATACTTGCGATCATGAGTGTATTACATTTAAATAATGATAGTCAAGTATGTATTGTAGTACACTGTCCCTATGTGAGGATTTTTGTCTCTCTCACTAGCATAACTCACAGTATTTGCCTTTAAAGTCATACATCACAATCTTGCGTGGCTCAACGATCATCCTGGCCTTTACACAAAAGCAAAACTCATTGATTATATAGTTTTAAAACTTCTTTGCCAAGTTTTGAGGACCATCTGACAATCTATTGAATTCTTTAGAAAATATGATATTATTTGTTGTCCACAAAGACTCATTCAAAACAAACATGTAAATTCAAAATAAAATTATATGTTGGTTGGAATCTATAGATTTAAAGACAAACATGTTCCCTGATCTAGGTGTCGAAAGTTTTGAAATGTTCGTGTCAAATCTGATGATCGTCGACACGAGACATTTTTCTCTTAACTATTCAAGGTGTTTGCTTTGTAGCTTGAAACATATGTATAGGGTAAATAACAATCGACTTCCTTGAGGTTAAGCCAAAAAATGATATGCCTCTTGAAGTTAATTTGACACTAAACCCCATGGTGTCAATACCTAAATGAAAAATGAATAACTTGTAACAAAAAAATTTCAAATTACAAAAATAACTATTTTATTTCCCTCCATTCTTCTCTTTCCTTTTTCTTCTCTCTCACCCCACCACTATTACCCATAACCACCACCTAAAATCACCACTACCACCCACCTCCACCACCACCAACGTATATATATATAGAAAGAGAGAGAGGTGAATACGGTGAGGTTTATATTGTTGTGATATATAGGGGGTGTTCGGCAAGAAGAATTTCTCTCTTTTAGGCTAAAATTCACAAAAAAATAGCTAATAAGATAAAATGTCACATCAAATCCATAATCAATTTGCTTTTTCTCTCACAAACATCAAATCTAACCAAAAAAAATCCAATCACCTTCCCAAACACAAATTTTAGCCTACTAAAATAGCAACTTCCCGAACACCCACATACTCACAACCACTTTTTTTGTTCATTGCAGCCATGTAGCTGATAACAGTTGCATCATTAGTGAATGGTGGGTTCTCAGAAATCAAAGGAAAGAACTTCTAGTACCCCTTGCCTCCTCCTCTCCCATTGGCGCAGCGCCTTCCCTCTCCCACTCCATCATCGCAATCCCTCACATCCCTCATCCCCACCTCCATCCTTACTCCCCAACCAAATCGAAACCAAATTTGTAAACTTTGGCAGAAGGGGAGACTGAGGAAGAAAGACGGAGAGAGTTCAGAAAAAAACGAAAGGGAAAATAAAGATGGAAAAAGCAAAATTTACTTAAGTGGTATTAATTTCACCGCAAAATTTTAATAATACGATTTAAAATAAAATAAAAAATCTATTTTTGGGGCATCACACCTACACACTGTTAGTTTGGATGAAAAACATCACTTTTCACTTTGTTATCAACTCCAAGGGGTTAAATGTCACAAATCAAATTTTAACAAGGCACTACATTTTTTGGCCTAACCCCAAAGGGTTAAAGTATAATTTACCCAAATATGTAAACATCATATACATTTGAATATAAAAATTATCAAGATTGGGTCAGTGAGATAGGTTACTATACGTTCACACCAATGAGTTTGTGCATTATTTTTTTATTGGCACCAAGGTTTCTGGATCAAAATCCGACTAATCCCTAAGGTTGCTCAGGCCATCGGCAAGGATTTTCACGCAAGTACACCACTGTTAATTCAAGAGTTTTCCCAATCCGATGGCCCAAAAAAATTGTTAGCACCTAAGAGGTTTTGATCCTTGAACCTTGGAAAGAGCACACCTCCAAGACTCAAGGCCTTGCCACTAGACCAACCCCTTGGGGTTATACCCATGCATTATTATCTAGATAAAAATATTACGGCTCTTCCCAGCAACACAATCCACATTATCAAAACCATCATAGTTTCTCAACGGTGAATTAGATTTAGTTTTCCACATCATGGAGTTATTGTGCATAAAACTTTATACAATCTTCCATAAGTATACCCATCTAATAACTTGGCCCAAAATAAAACCCATGGGCAAGCCCTAGGACCCATGTCCAACAATTATTGAAATTACCATAATACCCTTAGTACTAAAACCTATTATAATGACATAAATTTGTCCAGCAACGCAATAAATTAAAATAAATACATATAAAGACGCAAAATATTCCAAAACTTCAATCCTTGATGACTTAAACATACTTAATGTGGAATTCCAGATTTCTTCTTTCCATGTTCGCCATCACTAAAACCCTTACACCTCACTAAGACATTAAGGGTTCAAGTCTTGTCAAAGAAACAATCCTCATCCCTACGCTATGGGCCTCGATGTACCAAAGAATGGGTAAATTACTCTTTCAACTTCCAACTATCACCAAAGTTTTACTTTGGTATACTACCTTCTAATTACAACAATTAAGTAGTCAAACTTGACCTCATGTTTCAATGTGGTCCACCCATACTCACTGTCAAAATTTTGTATGGAAAATGCTGCACATTTTTTGGAAGATAGAAATAATAGCATAAATTACATTTTTCACCTTTCAACTTTAACTCAAATTCCACTTTGGTCATTTATGTTTCAAATTTTTAATGAAGAGTGATGAGATAATCACATTGAAACAAGAGTTGCAGTTTTACTTAATTATTACAATTAGAATGTGAGGAACCAAGGTAAAACTCATATGAAAGTTATAAAAAGAATTGTATAAACTTGCACACATATCATGAACATGATTATAAAATGTGCTTTTGCACATATGTGAATGCCACCCCAACTGCCAACTCCCTCTCCCACTCTCCCTCTCAATCTCCTTCACCCCTCCACCCCAAAGCTCTCTAATGCCTTCCTCCCTCTCCCAAACCCATATCCGCCATCCTCATCACTGTTCCCCACCCTCTACCACCATCCTCCCCCACCCTTTCCCCTCCCCTTCATCCCCTCCCCACCCTTGCACCACCACCCTTTTCCCCCTCCCACATCCATACATCCCACCATCAAGCCCCTTTGCCACCATCATAAACCATCAACAAGAAGAATTCAACATAATATCCATATCTAAAATTACACGAACACACACAAATGACTTACTGGTGCAGTTGGGCATAGGCGCACGGCGGTGGTGACGACTTTGGAGCTGAAATCCAGAATTCCACATAAAGTACGTATAAGTCATCAAGAATTGAAGTTTTGGAATATTTTGAGTCTCTATATATATTTATTTAAATTTATTGCGCTGCTAGACAAATTTATGTCATTATATTAGGTTTTAGTACTAAAGGTATTATGGTAATTTTAATAATTGTTGGACATGCGTTTTAGGAGTTGCTCATGGGTTTTATTTTGGGGCAAGTTATTAGATGGGTTTTACGTTACATGGACTCGGGTGTGGGTCTTGGGTGCAGGTGCATATCTAGGGGTCGGACACTTCAAAACTAAAACTTGAGGATACATGGATATGGATCCAAATTTGGATGTAGGTATGAGGATACGTTAAATAGTTAATTTTTTAAATATATTTATTATTTTTATTGATAATATTTTTAATTTATCTATATAATTTATTTTTTACTTTTAATTGACATATATTATAAATAACAAAAATATAATACATAAGGAATAACAAATTATGTTAAAATAAATAAAAAAATAAATAATGTATTTTATAGATTTTATTAGATTTTTTATTATATAATTGATAGGTGGATGCTAGCTGTTTTGACTTTTGACTGGTAGGTAAAAGTTTATTAGCTTGTTGGTGACTACTTTCAAGAGCCAGTATACCTTTTCTTGGAAGACAAAATGAGTTGCTCTCATTATATTATTTATGATATATTATATATGATAAATTAAACTATGTATATTTTATATGATGAACACCAATTAAAAAGAAGAGGGAGAGAGCAGAGAAGAGAGAAGAGAAGACGGATCGAGAGTGAGAGAAGAAAACAAAGAGATATGAGAGACGAAGTTGATCGAAATAGAGAGACGAAGATGATCGAGAGCGAGAGTAAGAGTGAGAGTGAGAGAAGAAGACAGATCGAGAGAAGAAGATTGAAGCCCTAATCCTCGAATCGATGCCCTAATCTCCATTTTCATAGCCTTAATTGCAGGTATGCAATCTTTCTTCTTATTTCCATATGCCGTATCCACGTCTTCCATTAAATTGTTATGCTCTGACTTGGGTGGGGAATATTTTAAAATTGAGTTCTGTGAGTATTTGGTCAATTTGGATATCATTCACCAAACTTCTTGTACTGATACACCTGCTCAAAATGGTTGAGCTGAGTGTAAACACCGCTATCTCCATAAGACAGCTAGGTCTCTTCTTCTCTCTGCCTCAGTTTCAGCTTCGTTTTGGGGCGAGGTAGTTCTTACTGCTGCTGTTCTTCTTAACTACATAGCTACTCCCCTTCTTTCTGGTCGATCTCCTTATGAGGCTCTGTTCTCTCAACTTCTACTCCTTCCTTCGTGTGTTTGGGTCGACTTGTTTTGCCCTTATTCCTTG